CTGGCAGACCCAAAAAATTGAGGAAGAGATCACAGGCAGAGCCACGTACGGGCGTTAAGATGGGAAGACTGGCATGAAGATGACGTGTAAACGCTGTGGAGGGTCTGGACATAACAAAAGAAGATGTAAGGAGGCAATGCCTGGTGAAGATAGTTCACAGCAACAGTCTCAACCAACCACACAAGAAGATACACATACCAGATCAGTGAAGGGGAAGAGAAAAACACATTCAACGCAAACCTCCAAGTCACAGACAAAGAAGTCCAAGCATAGAGGATCGCAATCTTGAACATCATGTGGTTTCTCTTGTATAGTTACCTTTTTGGGAAAATGCTATGGTTTTTTGTAAACTGAACTGGAAATATGTGCTTCCACTGCTGTGTATTTTGTAGATGTAACTGGAATTTTTGATGAAATTGTTCAATGTGATGATAATGTTGATGTCGAATATCTTGCATTATGTTTCTGCTGTTTGTCCTTGGTTTCTGAAATTGTATTCATAAGATCTGATGTGCAGGTGATTATGAAATATATGAGAATTTTTTATACTTCCTATGAAAGTATTATCAAACGTTTGGTACCTTTACTGCAATGTTTTTAAAGGTTTGGTACTCTATATGAAATCATTAGAAAATGTTTGGTACTGATTCTGCGAATCGTTATAAGGTTTGGTACCTATACTACACCTTCTTCAGATAAGTTTGAAGTGTAATCTACTCTTTTAATTTCACATTTGACGTAGAGGCCAGGAAAATATCTTTAAATTTCAAGTCAAAAGGTACGACACAATTTTCCTTTTTTACATATGCATTTCACAATATCTAGCACATGGCTCCATTTCGAAACCCTAAACTCAAATTTCTGGAACAAAAAACTAAAATCCTACAATCTGACCCTACATACCTAGGAACAAACCCATTTTGCAAACACTCCATACACAAAGCCAAAGAGCCAAATATTCCACACATTTGGTCTTGTTGCTTGAAGGGTGTCGATTTTAGCTTCCATTTCCCTCCTAGCTCGTAATAGACCAGGAATCAGTTCCTTTGATCTCTCACACATCGGAGGGTCACACCACATAAAGAAGGTGCATCCACCCACATCTTGGCTTCGAGGACAAGTGAGAAATCTTCTTCCCGGGTTCAAGTTCGTCCACGAGGTTTTGATTTGCACTGGGAAACCACATTTGCATGCATTCCCCTCCATATGCGTGCTGATTTTTTTTACTACCTGTGAGAGAGAAGGTAAGTAATATATAGTGATAAAGAAATGGAGGGAAATAAACAGTGAAATATATTATAGGAGGGAAATATGTTTAATGACCATGTTGCCCTTCACTTATTTGGAGAAAATTCTTGAAATTATCATTAAAGGGGTCAACTGACGGTTTTGACGGTTAAACAGACGGAAACCGTCATTTTGGACTGGCCCTACACATTTTTTAAAGGTTTGGTATCTCCGGTGACACAAACTAAAGGTTTGGGCAAAGTCTGCTAATAAACGAAAGGTTTGATACTTCGACTGCAATTTTCCCTAAAATAATTAGCCAATGAATAGATAAAATAATTAAACAATTAGTTTTGACCTAATCTTTGCACGTATAATTTAACAGATGACGTTATCTAAGTTTTTTTATTATTATTATATATTTGTGAGATAGTGGTGGGGCCCATACAATTAATATATGTAACTAACAAATTCTTTCTTAGTTACCATCTGCATTTATTTGTTTGGGAAATGATGGTGGCTCTCATGTTGATGATTAAAATTGTAGGTAGTCAATTTGACACACACACACACACACTATATATATATATCGACTAATCTTCCTTTCTCTCATTTTTAATAATATTTATTAATATTTTATTTTAGGTAATGGCATTGATCAAGGAGAATGGATGCCAAAAATAATCCCAAGATTCCCAAACAAACACCCAAGCACGCCAACCTACCACACGGCCCCAGGGAAAACTATCAACCCAACACTGTACAACCAATCAGAAATTAAAAATCGCCACCCAAAATCTACCCAATTTTATGGCTTTGACAACGGATTGGGGATCTCCGAGTAGGCAACAGCCAACGATTGGCTCCGTGTCCAAGCTTGAGAATAGCAGTGGAGTGCTATCTGCAGCGAATATTGTTAAGAAAACGCTCAAGGATCGAGTAATCCAACTGCAATTATATTCACACCACAATTTTTATTTATTACAGCACATTTTAATTAAATTTAAGATTCTTAATCTTTGCTCATTATAGTACTTACGTCCTTAACGATTTTTCATGTCATTCTTATTTTCAGACTTTCCATTAATTAACAAATGTTGTATTTGATAACAATTTTATATTCAAAAGTCCGTTGACATGATGTAAAACAACTAAGTTTCCCGTCATATTTTAAAATAAATAAATAAATAAAAAGTGCAAAAATATTTTCTCTCATTTCAAAGTATGAAAACAAAATATTTATAAATCGTTATTAAAGATAAGACATACTAATTAATGGAATGTTAAAATTAAGTATTTGATTGAAAAAAAGTAAAGAAAGTAATGCTACAATGGTAAAAGATTTGAGGAGCTTAACTATAATTAGAATGTGGTGTATTAAATAAAAATTGTGGTGACAATATAAGCACCCAAAATACTTTATAATTAGTATATATTTATAAAATGATAGGATAAACAAAGAAAAAACCCTTGATATTTTGCAGTATGGATTTGACGGTATTTCCATAGTTATTAGACTCGACTCAAGAAAATCATCGAGTCTCTGGGTTAATGGTTCAACCGATGGATCATTGTTCTATTGTACTATTAGATTACATTTTTCAAACAAAATAATGACTATTTTCCAAATCTAAATATATATGTAGTTTCTTTACATTCTTTACCAAGGAACGTGCATATGCTATAATGGTTAGGGGAGTGATATTGCTTTCTTGAAGCTAGGGTTCGAATCCTTGCCATGCCAAATTGAAGAAAAAAATTTGCACTACACTTGTTGGCAAAAACCGGTTCACATTTGAACCGGTTTCGGTTTTCCCTTAAACTCGTCTGAACCAGATGGTTATTGAATGGTCTAACTGGTTCTTGAATGGTCCACTTGTTGGCTTGAGCAATTAGTGTAACTGGACCGGACCACTATCCTGTTCACCGGTTCCCGGGCCAAATCGGCCGGTCCTATCCGGTTTTAATAATTATGGGTATTTCTCTTTATTTTATATGTAGGGTCGTGGATGGTTACTTTACAAGTCTACTTTAAACTTCTAACTCCAAGAATAATGTGAACCGAACATAATTTCTTTAGAAATTTCCCATCAACTTACCCGTTTCAGTCCATATTTTGAATTGTTAAACAATCAAGAAATTTCAGAAAACTATTTATTTTTCAGTATCTTCAAAAATGAGACACCTTACTACAAGAAAGCAACCAAATGAGGGCCATCAAGAAAGTTTCAAAATCTATTGAATGTAAATTTAGTCGAAAGTCAACATTGGATGACAAAATAATAAGTCTGCACAAAATTGCTATCAATCTTTTTCTTGCCAGTTTGTGTAAATTTCCCTTTAAATATGAAGAAACTATGCGGCACTTTCCTAAATAGCCTTTCCCCAAGGCGTCAGCAAACTCAAAAAAATTACATTTCTCCTCTTGCCGCGTTAAATTTTAATAATACATAGACCAAGACCTAAAATCAATAGTAATTAAATGTGTCATTTCACTACGAATTTCTCATAATTCCTTGGTAGTTAGTAATTAGAAAAAGGGGAAAAAGAAAGTAGAAGAAGAAAGTTCCTTGTTTCATCTTTTCTTGAAGTTTGACTTGTTGAAAGGACGCTTTAATTTACGTAAATCTAGGCCCCGTATGAACCCCATTAATTTGAAATAATGAATCATGAAATAGTAATACTGTAGAAAAAATAATAGGAAAGAATATAAAATAATGGGCTCAAACAAGAGCGTAGCTTTGTGTGTGTGTAAGATTCCTAATACTGTAGAAAAAATAATAGGAAAGAATATAAAAGAATGGGCTCAAACAAGGGCGTAGCTTTGTATGTGTGTAAGATTCCTCGAAGGCCTGATATGCGCTTAACTTTTTAGTTTTTATTAAATGATTCGTGACAAGAAATCTCTTGCATATATAATCACCCTTAAACCACCCGGCTGCCTATATTTCTGATATTCTATCTTATTCCACTTTTTGATTCAGGTCGTCTACTTGAATCATCTTGAACATACTGACAATCATGCCAAGCAATGGTAGTTTTCAGACATCTGACAGAGACTCCAGCGAGGCAGTAGATTCAACTACAATGGTCGACATTGAATTATCACGTTTCTCCTCGTTTGATCCTCCACATATCACTAAGCTTGTAAGAACTGAAGATAAAAAATGGCTTCGAGAGCATGGAGGTATAGAAGGCGTGCTGTTAGCCCTGGAAACAGATATGGAGAGTGGCGTCAGAGGTGATCGAACTGACATTGACAGCAGAAGAAAAGCCTTCGGATCTAATCTTCTTCCCGAATATAATCTGCAAAAAACATTTCGCCGTTTCGTGTTGGAAGCAATTAGAGATCCCATGATTGCTGTTTTGTTTATCTGTGCTGTGCTTTCTCTATGTTTTGGCATTCAAACACATGGCCTACGACAAGGATGGCAAGAAGGGTTGACAAAAATAATTTCTATTCTTGTAGTGGTAATTGTTTCCGCCAGCGGAAAATTCTGGCCAATCAGTCAATGCCTTGAATTTTCAGTTTTCAGCAGCTATATTCCTGAAACTGATGTTGTGAGAAGCAGTAAATGGCAGCGAATTCCAATATGTCGTGTTCTTGTTGGAGACATAGTTTTTCTAAAGCCTGGCGATCAAGTTCCTGCCGATGGATTGTTCGTAGATGGCTGTTCACTGAATACAGAGATGACGAAGACAGATGGGCAAATTGATTGAATCGAAGTGGACGCACACGAGAATCCATTCTTGTTCTTTGGCAGTACAGTTGTGGATGGTTATGCCAGAATGCTAGTGACAGCAGTAGGCAAGAATGTAAAGCACCATGGAATTTCTTTGAGGGGACCTTTAATTGACGAACTCAAAAGAATCACCTCTATAGTAGGCAAATCTGGTAAGACAGTTGCTCTGCTGATATTTATGGTATTTTTGGTACGTTTCTTGACAGGCAAACAACATGATGATAACGGAAAAAGAGTGTCTTTCGGTGGAGAAACAAGAATTGGTGATGTTCTTGCTGTCATTGTTGGGATTCTGGCTACTCCAACAATGATTGCTTTGACATCTACTCCAGAAGATTTGGTTTCGGCTGTCAGAACGTGTCTTGCCTATTCAATGAAGAGACTGATGAAGATTCAAATTCTTGTGAGAGAACCTTTAATCTGCCATAAAGTTGCATCTGTCACCACTGTCTGCGTGAATAAAACTGGAACCTTAACTATGGATTCCATGGAGGTACTACCTTTCCTCTCCCAGTGCACTTATCTGTTCTTCATGGTCAATTAACAACTTCTGCAAAGTTGTTTGTGAATAGATAACCCGTCCTATAGGCATAACAGGCGATTAGAAATGAAAATTGCTAAAGAAGATTAGGCAATATGTAAATACTACAGGGAAAGTGTTAATGGGCAGGTTCAGCGTACAGATTTCAAAGTCAATGTTTCAATAGTACATGCGTTCAACAGGCTGTTGGATAATTTAATTCTTTAAATACCGGATCTTTCATGTTAAATCATCAAGAAATATAATAATTAAAGCGGAAGCATACCTGAATCTGACATGGTTAATGCAATATGGATTTCGCGGTATGATCTTCCAAATCTACACGCAGTCTCCTATTCCTCTCTGTGATGGGATGCAGTAGAGAATGAACAATAATCTGTTTCGTTGCGTGTGATCTGGGGACCATAACCTATTTATATGAGGATGCCCTTTGACCTAATTCGGCCCATCATAGAATTAGGACTTGGGCCCGGTCTCTACACATATGTAAACCCATACTTTAATTGGATACATTAAAGCCCAAAAACCGAAACCTTATTAGATCACTTTAATCGGGCTCAACCGAATTCGATAGCCTATAATTTAACACACAATTATTTACACATA